AAAAAATACAGCCACCAGGCTCAAAATACAAACGTGCGATTGTCATTTACGGATATTGTGGATCATATTCAACCTATTTTTGAACACGACGGGAATATTTCATATTTCGTTGAAGTATCCCTTTAAAGTCCGGGATAATTAACATGTTAATTATTTTTGCGTAATTAACTTTTCTAATATTCTGTTTAAGGGCATGGTTTCAATTAGAAAATTGCTCAGCATCGTCGAAAAACAGTAAATCAACAAATTGCAGAACGATAGAAGGCACGCGCATCATTATACGGCTTTCTGAAAAACCGCACAAATTCACCGCGTCTTTAAAGGGGCCCTGCAATCACATTTAAGCGTCTACCGTTTTTGTGGTTTCCACGTCTCTTGGGGTTTGGGTAGGCCAGCGGGCACGGAGAGTGGGTCATATTTTAACCGGACGACGCAGAAACCTCCTCCACCGACGAGGGCGACCCGCGGTACCGAAAGCGCGCACAATGTGATGTCTTTGGTCCTGGGCTTACTACGGCCAGAGCCGCTAAAATTGCTTTTTAGTTGAAATGCAAAATATAAGTGGCGCGAACCGTTTCAATTATGTATAAAAGTAGTTTTGTTCAGTATTTTACATCGGAAAAGTAACGAATGCAGTTTATAAAGTACGGTAACAAGAAATGGCCCGTCTAGAAACCCGCCACCAAGCGGTGAAAAGGCGGCGCACACCACATAGGAGTAGTGGGACTAGTGGGATAAGGCGCCGACACGGAGAGGTCCCGGATGTACGCGGCGGCACTGCGGTCGTTGGATCCGACCGGCTCCGAGCGTTCCGAAGGCCTTCGGCGAGAAGATTTGTCTTGCGGTTTGGCCGTTTCGCGGTATGGCAGCGCGAAGTGGCTCCCATTATGAACTGATCTTTACCCCGTGTATGCTGTCGTTTCTGGCCAATGAAGTGTCACGCCAAATTAGTGTTTAATCGTGCTGCAAATGCAATGAGAGCCGCTCTGGCTACCCGCTGCATACCGCCTATCCAGAACATGCTTTAGTGGCGCCCTCTCGCGCCGTCGACACGGAGTGCGGCAGCCGTGAGCGCTCGATGACCTCACTACCCCTCCCCTAGTTCACGGTAACTCAATCAGCCAAGGACGTCATGAGGGAGGTTATTTTTTGCTTGTTTTTGTAATTTTCAATTGCCTATCATTTTTAAAATAAAGTGAATTTCGAGAAAAGAAAAGTTTCGCTAAGTTACTACGTTCAGTGCGCTCAGGTTCGGTGCAAACTAAAAACCAGTAAAAAAGTCCTTGCATGGCCCCTTTAAGTTTCGGTTTACTATCGGAGCGCATCTCGGCCCGGGCGGCACCGCGCCCCATGGAGAGATAGTGCAACCAACCTTTGCTGCGCTGTCATCGCGCGACGCAGCAGTGGCTGGTTGCACTATCTCTCCCCGGGGCGCGGTGCCGCCCGGGCCAAGATGCGCTCCGATAGTAAACCGAAACTTAAAAAACCCGGCGAATTTGTGCGGCTTTTCAGAAAGCCATAAAATGATGCGCGTGCCTTCTATCGTTCTGCAATTTGTTGATTTAGGCTTTTTATATGATGCTGAGCAATTTTCTAATTGAAACCATGCCCTTAAACACAATATTAAAAAAGTTAATTACGCAAAAATAATTAACATGTTAATTATCCCGAACTTTAATAATTTTCCCAAATGGGCTCCTGGCCCACGATCAAAACGACACAAGCCTTTTTTCGTTGCGATAAGTAGTTTTCGCAGGAGCGATTTGGCATGAGTTCTCTGAAACACCCTGTATATAAATACATATCTACCAGGCGTTTTTTTTTTAGCTGCACCAAATTTTAAAAAAAAAGGAACATGCGATAGAGTAACTTAAGCCCTGTTGAAGTGTTGATAGCCATGGCAGCCTCTAGAAAAAAGGTGAAATTAGGTAATTAGTTAGCTGATTAACTAAAATGTTTTAACTAACTTTTTAATTTTTCACTTGAGAGCACATAATGTATTTAAAGAACTGATGTTCGACCTCAACATTGTCTAGACCTGCCATCAAAGTTTGATTAAAAAATTTGTAGTAGGTGCTACGGGGTCAAGAAATTTCACTTTGGTACACGGCGTCCATCCGAACCTCAGCGAGGAAGAGCGCCGGTAAAGTTTTCGCTCCGCCCTTTCGGGCATGCGATTTGTTATTATCGCGGCCCGCTCCACTTGCTTAGGCGAAGTTGGCCGCGATAATGACGATCCACGGGGGCCGGAAGGGCAGAGCGATTACTTTACTGGCGCTCTTTCTCGTTTAGTTTCGGTTTGACGCCGTGTACCAAAGTGACATTTCTTGACCCCGTAACACCTACTACAAATTTTTTAACCAAACTTTGATGGCAGGGCTAGACCATATTGAGGTCGAGCTTCAATTCTCTAAATGCACTTTGTGCCCTCAAGTAAAAAATTAAGAAGTTAGTTAAAAATTTTAGTTATTAAGCTAACTTATTACCTAATTTCACCTTTTTTTTAGAGGACAAAAAAAACACCATATATATATATATATATATATATATATATATATATATATATATATATGTATGTATGTAAGCTACGCAGGGATGTGAGCTAGAGTTGAGGCAAGCGCAACAGATGCCGCGTGAGAAAAATTTAGACAGCGTGTCGGCGACCGCCCCACGTTTGCGTATGAATAATGACTCTTCTTCGCGTAATGAACAAGGAACTTTGACGCCGCGCTTTGCAGAGTGAATGAGTTTGTTTATTAACCCGCCTAGCATTAATGGGTGCACCTCGGGTTATCTATCATTACGGTGGATTAAGCAAGACCGAAGCACAATTAACTGGGGAAAAGTCAAAGGTTTAGCGCTTCCGACCCATTTCCTCTTCATTAGCCGTATATTTTGTTTTGAGCCCGGGATAACGTCAGCTTGTGATGTTTCAGCCTTTTAAAACGATATGCTGCTTGCACCATCACCTCTTTCGGTTATCTGAAGTTTCTGAAACTAAATACTCTAAACAATGCATTCCAACTTTTTTTTCATCTTTTTTTTTTTGTGTGACGGGATAATTTGTTTTTGCACATTCTGGGTTCTATTAACCTTAAACTTAGAACAAAAACTGGGGGAAAAGGTTTGTGGTCATTCGAGAGTGCCAAACTTCGAGACTAAAGAACACTATGCTCCATTTAAAAAAAAAAAAAGCAAAAGACGAATATATGTATAGATATGCACAATCTCGCGCACTGACGTCGCACTAAAGATATATTAGTAACGGAGCAGGCCTACGTGTTTTGCTCTTAGAAAAATTAAAAAAAGAAGAAAAGTATGTGCGCAAGTGTAGTGCAACGGGTCTCTTATACATGTACAAATTTAGATAGAATAAAGAGAGCGTGTTGGTTAAACATCTTGGTATGCGAACGCAAAGGGGGACAAGGGAAACACAAAAACGCGTCAGACACGCGTACAGCTTTGTTGAATTATGTCTGGGCCCAAAGGCATACTGGACGATAGATTACCGGCGTGCACTATAGTTTATACGTTTCAAGTCAAAAAAAGAAGAAAAAAAAATCATATCCACCTTTTTATAATACTTTAATGTCAAGTACGCCGCAACGAGTCGTTTAGACAAATATACCAGTGAGCCCTTCGGAAACTCCCAAGATTTACGTCCAATCAAGTCGATACGCAATTTTTGTGGTTTACATAGGAAAGCGGTGGGTTTCAAAGAATACTTTATTTACAGGAATTCATACCACAAAGATTGCAACTTCTTTTCCGCGTCGTATGCTGCACTAAACGTGTACGTACTTACATAACTGGCCATAATACTCCCTTTCGTGTAAGTGTTTTGGTTTTCGTGTTTCCTTCGGCAAAGTGGTGTGCGGCACGCTTGGAAAAGTTTACGATTCTCGGTACTTGGTTCCCCCTGCCGCGTTTTAACTCCGCTGCGCTGTGTGGCCTCTTCATATATCAACCCCGAATGTAAGTCTACAAGTTGTGTTTCCTAGATGCTAGAGGGAAAGTAGGTCGACTTTGTAAACTTAATGCAAAAGTTGGTCAAAAGATGCGGTATACACACGTCCACAAAGAAAACGTGATCAGTTTATTATTTATGCAAAAAACACACACAAAAAAAACAACAACAAAGACAACGGAAATAAATATTGGACTAAAAAAAGTAACTAAAACTAATGTCCGACTTTGTTGAACTTTGAACCAAATAGAGACATCAGGTGATTGGGCTGCGTGTCTTCGCTTTATATAATATGTGGGACATCACTGCTCATGCAATGCAACGTATAATGTGGCAAGTCGATCAATACAGTTTACACGTTGTTTCTTGTAATTTCCAGTTAATGGCCTCAGTTAAGGCCGCCATTCTGCTCCCCTTCTGTTTAATGTTGGCTCGGCACAGCCGCCAGCGAGGCGCAGTACCAAAACAACCCTTCAGGGTTATGTATCTTTAAACAGAGGGCCTCACCTTGTGATCAAAGTGGTTTTATAACGGTAGGTTAAAATGCATCTGCCCAAAAATTTTCCATTTTGTTCCGTATCGTCCTGTACAACTTTCGACCTACCTACTGCAACGCAAATGAACGTGCATATATGTAGTAAATAAATTTGATTGGATTGGATTTGTTTTAGCAAAAATCAACAAAGATACGTTTCCTTAGTATGGATAATGATAATGAAGTTCCTTATGACATGATTATGTTGTTAGCTTTGTACAGCATTTGGAGATCACGTATGGCTGTTCGACATGCTGACCTCGACGCAAAAGAAGTGCGGATATATTTCTTCAACCTTGTAAAGCAAGTACAGAGTATGTATTTGAACTGTGAACCTGAACCGGAGTGAACTAGTATTTTAAAATCACTCCTCGAAATGCGTGATTTTTAATACGTTGTGCAAAAGAGCTGTACAGCGCTGTTAGAATGACAGATTCGGCTTCCGTGAGCGATAGCGAGCGGACGCACGATGGATCGCTCCTCTGCGATAGCGATAACGGCTGAGGCCAGCCGTGGTGACGCCGCACACGGCGAAGTGCCCAACGATTATACCGTGTTATTGCCGGTAATGCCAACAGGCGACGAAGCGAAGTGTAGCCTGGTGCTGCACGCGGACACCCGCGGTCGACCGTATCGAGTCGAGGACTTCGTCGGGCCCCTCAACCAGGTGGGCGTCAGGGAGGACATAACAGGACTTGGAGCCTACCAGATGGGCCACGTGTGGTTGGTGAAGTTGCGTACCGGTGAGGCCAAGGAAAAGCTGCTATCCGCAGGAAACTTAAAGGTTAAAAATCGGCTTTGCCTGATCGTCGACCCTGTCAGGCGGGAACTGAGAGTAAAGGTGCACTGGGTGGCTTTTGGAGTGTCCGTCGACGCCATCCGGAGAGCCTTTGAACCATACGGCGAGATCAAAGGTGTCGCTCGAGAAAAATGGAAGATAGAAGGCCTCGTGGACGTCGACTCAACGACCGTCACCGTGAGGATAGTGCTCCGCGATTCCTTGACACCCGAGTCTCTACCACACCAGTTCCGCATCAATGGCGGGAATGTGCTGGTAGTAGTTCCCGGACGAGCGCCGCTTTGTCTACGTTGCCGCCGCACAGGACACATTCGACGTGATTGTAAAGTACCAAGGTGTGAAGAGTGCCGAGCCTTCGGGCATGAGGCCAGAGACTGTGTGCGGTCCTACGCGCGAGCTGTCGCTGGCCAAAACCTTGAAGACCCGGGTGCGACCTACTTAATGGATGAGGTCGAAGCAGAGGCGGCGGCGACTCCTTCAACTCGGCATGCCGCACCTGAGGAATCCCCGCCTACCTCTGAGATCACCATGGTGCAGCGGAATGCCCCACAAGACCAGACAACGAACCCTGCCCCTAAGCTGGAGGGGGCAACGGGCAACACGCAGCTTACTGAGAAGACACCGTCGCCAGCGTCACCAGCTATTGGGGGCGCGGCCGGTGCTTCGGACGGTGAGGACGCAGTGGCCATGGACTCAGAAGGCGCGTCGGTCAAGCGTAGGCACTGCGAAGTGGTTTCTGGAAACGTCGAGTCGCATCAGCAATCTCAGGGAGGGGAGAGTGGGTGGCAAACCAAGAAAGGAGGAGGAGCCGGCCGCGGACGCTCGTCCCACTCCCCCGGAAAGACGCACGGTCGCAAGGAAAACCCGGTTGTGGTCCCATAGACCGTGTTAAAGTGGGTGAGTGCCTTGTGCTGTGGTGAGACCTTCCTTCTGCTATAGTCACTCTCGGACGTCCCCTGCGCATTGCCACGCTCAACGTTCGGGGACTGGCGGCTAGACGTCGGCAACGACAGCTCTACCGGCTGATGAATGAACAAGAACTGGACATCGTCGCCATCCAAGAGACGAAAGTAGAAAGTGAGGAGAGCACTAACTACATGGTGCAGCCCTTCTTGGCACGATACTTCGTTTGTGTAAGTCATGCGGTTGGTCTTTCTGCAGGTTGTTGCCTTTTTCTGAAAAAATCTTTAGGCGTAGTTGTGCAAACAGTTATGACATGCCCATCTGGGCGTTTTGTTTTGTGTGATTTTACTGTTCTAGGCCACGAGTGGCGAGTTATTAATGTCTACGCGCCAAACAAGCCAGACGAACGCCGTTTGTTTTTTGAGAACGCTTATCAACATTTTCAGTGCGATCGTCTGATTATCTTCTTGGGTGATTTCAACTGTGTGTGCCGAGCAGTGGACCGGTCTAACAGTGTGCGGTATAACGACGCTAGTATTCTCGCGTTAAACGACATTACTGAGGATTTCGTGCTCGAAGATGTTGCTTGTTGTGCACCAAGTGCGAAGGCTGTGTCGTATACTCACTTTCAGGGTGACAGTCACGCTAGATTAGACCCTGTCTACATTTCGTCTGAACTAGTTTCTTTGTGTTCTAATTACTCCGTTGATTATGTCTCATTTAGTGATCACTGCCTTGTCAGCTTTTGGTTAGGAGAATCAAAAAAGACGTCATCATTTACGTGGGATTTGTGGAAACTTAACGCCAAGCTCTTGCGCGATGAATCGTTCGTTAGCACACTTAAGGCAACATGGCAGGCGGTGGAAAGGAGGGGGCAAGGTGCAGGCGAGAGGTGGGAAATGTTTAAACAGGAAGTTAAAATGTGCGCGATCGAGAAGTCGTGCGCTATGAAGCACAAGGAAAGGAGGCAGGAAGCTGAAATGCGCTTGTGTTTGAAAAAGCTTTTACAAGAAGAGTGTCGAACTCCCGGCAACTTAATGGAAGACATCAATAATCTGAAAGCTCGACTTGAAGTTTTAGAGCAAGAGCGATATAGGGGGGCGGCAATTCGTGCACGTGCAGAGAAATTAATGGTTGGTGAAGCGCCGACAAAAAGAATGGTGGCTGCGGAAAAAAAAATACTCATGCACTATACTTCGTTTCAGCTTCGGTCCGAGCGCGGCCGATGTTATGATTCAAAGGGTCAATCAAACAGCAAAAGAGGCACAACGTCATGGCGTGCTCTCTGCAGTTGATAGGACCAGCCGGTATTCGCCGTCTCTCTGTGCGTGCTCCTCCGCCGGCTAGTCCTATCAAGCGCAGAGAGCACGCCATGACGTTGCGCTCTTTACGCTGTTTGATTGGCCCTTTTGCTCGTAACATCGGCCGCGCTCGGACCGAAGCTGAAACGAAGTATAAACAGATTGTAGAAATTGAATACCAAGGAGTTGTGTCATTCGACGCAAGCGTTATCGAAAAGGCGTTTGTCGAACATTATGTTGATTTGTTTAGTTCCCACGCCCCTCAATCTGAAGGTTTAGATGGAGGACTTTTATCTTTAATGCCATCTGTTAGTTGCGATGATAAAAAGTTTTTGGAGGCGCCGCTCAGTCTGTCAGAGATAACAAAAGCGATCGACGACCTGTCACCGAATAAGTCTCCGGGCCCTGACGGGCTGACTGCGCTCTTTTATAAGACATTTAAATCTGAACTTGCTCCCATCTTACTTGACGTTTTTATTGAAGCTTACGAACAAAAAATCCTACCCCCCTCGTTTTCGCGTACCCATACTGTTCTAATCCCGAAGAGCGATGACCCCGTAAAACTACGCAGCGTGACCTCTTACCGGCCTATCTGTCTCACTAACGTTGATTATAAAATATTAATGAAAGTTCTCGCCAGCAGGCTGCAGCGAGTGATCACGAGTGTTGTAGGGCCACACCAGACGTGCGGCATAAAAGGTCGTACTATCCTGACTAACGTTCATGTAGCGCGCAGCATTCTGGAATGCTGCGACTCCGAGCTACGGAAGGTTGCGATGTTGCAGGTGGATTTAGAAAAAGCATTCGATCGTGTTTCACATGCCATAATCTTCAACATTTTGGAGCATATCGGAGTAGGGCGAATCATTTTAGAGGGGGTACGAATGGCCTACCGCAACTGTACGACGAACCTGATTCTAAATAAGCGGGTTAGCGAACGAATACCGGTGAACTCATCTGTCAGACAGGGATGCCCGATCTCACCATTACTTTTCGCGTTGTACATCGAACCCTTTTGTCTTAGTATTATTCATGATCGCTGTGTCCGCGGATTTACTTTAAACACATGCGAAGTTCGCATACTTGCATACGCAGATGACATCGCAATCTTTTGCGCCGACAAGGAGAGTGTAAGAAGAGTAGTCGAAATTACTAAAACGTTTTGTACTCAAACAGGTTGTGCCGTGAATTGGGGAAAGTGTTCAGGGTTCTGGCATGGCGAGTGGGCGTCGAAGCCAAAAGTATTTGCAAGCATTGAATGGTCAACCCTGCCGACGCGTTACTTGGGAGTCCCGCTAAATCACTATCGAAACAGCAACGATCTGTGGACTACTGAGACAGCTAAGTTACGTGAAAAAACTATACAATGCGGTGGACGACACTTGTCTATTTTTGCACGCGCAACTGTGTGTAATTTATTTTTTGTAGCAAAACTCTGGTACATGCTTCAGGTACTGCACTGCACGCGTATTCACGTGCAAAAGATACACCGAGTGTTTGCCGTGTTCATTTGGGCCTCCTCTTGGGAGCGCACCAGCCGAACAAACCTGTTTCGGCGTGTTCGGAATGGTGGCCTATCATTAACGCACCTTTTTCTACGACAAGTTGTTAATCGCTTTCTTTTTCTGCGTGATCAAAGTGATCCCTTTTTGCGTACTGTCGTTCAGGTACAGCTTTGTGACGCTTTACCCGAATTTATTGTTTCATCCGCTGATGGTGCAAATGGACCGCTGAGCCCCTTTTTAAAAGAAGTAGTCGCTGCTTGCAAATTCCTAGCCGCGAGGTTTTCCCTCGAATATCTGGGTACTGTTTCGCGAAAAAGATTGACGAAAGATTTGACCGAGCTGTCTTGTCCGGCTCCCATCTACCGCACGTTGTACTGTGCAATACCCGGTAACGATGTACTTAGTCGAGTGAAAAAAATGATGGTCCCTGCGAACACGAAAACATTTTTTTTCCATCTCCATACCGGCACACTTCCCGTTAAAACGTGGCTGCATGAGAAGGGCGTGTTTGTGCCCTGGACCGTAAATTGTTTCTTGTGCAAACAGCCTGAGACCATAGAACATGTCTTCCTGTATTGCTGGGATGCTGTCTTTTACTGGGATGTCTTGCAGCGTACTCTTAAGAAAGATCTTCCGTTAACTGCGCACGGAATACGCTTTCTACCGTTAGATAATGCACATTGTGTGCCGTACGATTTAATTATGCTTCTTGCACTGCACAGCATATGGAAGTGCCGCATGGCAGTGCGACATGCTGACTTGGACGTTCGACCAGTGTGCCAGTACTTTACACAAAGTATCAGCCAATTAAAGGAAACGTATAAGGCTCTAGGAAACGACCCCGATTGGCTGCCTGTCCTAGACGCACTATCTGAAATAAGATCCTGTTAATATTTCTGTGTCAGCCAAAACTCGGCTGAGGTGTCTCAGAACTTGTTCAGTGTCTCTTATCTTCTGTCGTTACGATAAATCTTACGGAAAATAAAGAAAAAAAAAAAAAAAAAAAAGCTGTTAGAATGACATGAATGTTGCTGTAACTACCATGCAATAAAGAATAAAAAAGGCATCTGTGGCGCAATCGGTTAGCGCGGTGGTTCGAGTCCACCCGGTGGCGAGTGATCTTTTGTTGCCTTACTACTATTATTTAGCCATCGCTTTTATTCTATGAAAAGGGTTCCGTTTGTTCCGTGTTTATTTTGTTTTAAATAATGCGTTCTTTTCGGTGTGTATTTTTGTTTCGTTATCGGTATAATACGATGTTATTTTCAGATGGAGGCTAATTGAAAGTTGAACAGAAATCTGTTATAAATAAACATGAGAAAAAACAACACACTCCTTCAAGTGTTGTGAAATATAAGGCCCAGGAACATGAATGTTTACCTGTAAATTATAGCTCATATAAACTCTCTCTGCCCATGATTTCTTTTGTATTGAAAAAGCTAGACTGGTTTTCAAATGATGAAGTTCAAAAGTATACGTGATATTTACGGCATAAAAGATAAAAGCTCATCACAACCGACGGGCACTACGCCCCAAATACACAATTTTGGAGCTATAGAAAAAAGAGGGGGGGGGGGCTGGTGGGAGTTTGCTTTTGGCCCTCTTTATTGCGTATTCGCGAAGCGATGCGGGTGGAAACTGCGGGCACCGATAACTTTAATTAAACAAAGTCCACCAGATATTTTTTTTAAAATTATTTTTAGTTTATGCGAGCCTTTGCGCCCACACGCAATCTTATTTTCCTTCTGGTCGATAGGGAGAATCGCGGCGACGGCTCACCCTGTGATAAGGTATACCCACGCCGCATCTGTGTTCTCCGTGTCCTTCCTTCCTGCACCTTGTCGGAAGGCTGTTTCAGCCCCAATCGATATGCCAGCCTCTGTCTAGAACATGTCGGATCCTTCTGTTAGAGATCCCACAAGTTGGCCAGAAAATGCCTCCTCCCCCGCGTTAGTCGAGAACTGCGTAGCGGTATGCATGAAACACACAAGGCTTGGCTCGCAGAATCTTTGTTCTCAATAAAAGTGCCATCCGAAGACTAATCGACTGGCTCTCATATTCGGCTTTCCTGTTTGCATTTGACGGTGTCAGCGTAAAACAACAAAATTGGGTGAGGAATTCTAGTCCCAAAGACTGAAAGTTTGAACACATTTCATAACATCTCAGGGCAGCCCTTGTGTGGAAAGTTAAAGTTGCTCATCTTTAATTGTCGATTGGGCTCATGCGACTAAGTTACTGAAGAGCGCTTAAACAACACAGGTCTAAAAACGTCTGTTTCAGATTCTCCTCCTTCAATGGAGCAATTTAATACTGGCTTGAGCTGATAAACAACATTACCATTAAAATACAATTGGATAATGCTGTAAGAACTGTATCACAAAAACTTTATTATCATTCGGTTAGTGTTAGCTAGAGGGAAAGTAGGTCGACTTTGTAAACTAAAAGCTAAAGTTGATAAAAGATGCGGTATGCACGCGTCCACAAAAAAAAACGTGATCAGTTTATTATTTAAGCATAAAACGTCCCCCCCCCCCCCCAAAAAAAAAAAACAACAACAACCACAACCAAACAAAAAAAAAAAAAAACGACGGAAATAAATTTTGGACTAAAAAAAGTAACTAATACTAATGTCCGGCTTTCTTGAACTTTAAACCATATAGAGACATCAAATCATTGCGCTGTGTGTCTTCGCTTTATATAATATGTGGGACTTCACTGCTCATGCAATGCAACGTAGAGTGTGGCAAGTCGATCAATACAGTTTACGCGTTGTTTCTTGTAATTTCCACTTAATGGCCTCAGTTAAGGCCGCCATTCTGCTCCCCTTCTGTTTCATGTTGGCTCGGCACAGCCGCCAGCGAGGCGCAGTACCGGAACAACCCTTCAGTTAGCTATCTTTAAACAGAGGGCCTCACCTTGTCATCAAAGTGGTTTTATAACGGTACGTTAAAATGCATCCGCCCAAAACTTCTCCTTTTTGTTCCGTACCGTCCGGTACAACTTTCGACCTACCTACTGCAACGCAAATGAACGTGCATATCTGTTGTAAATAAATTTGATATGATTGGATTTGTTTTAGCAAAAATCAAGGACGCCTCCGTGGCGCAATCGGTTAGCGCGTTCGGCTGTTAACCGAAAGGTTGGTGGTTCGAGTCCACCCGGTGGCGAGTTATCTTTTGTTGCCTTAATACTAATATTTAGCTATCGTTTTTATTCTATGAATAGGGTTCTGTTTTTTCTGTGTTTATTTTGTTTTAAATATTACGTTCTCTTCGGTGTGTATTTTTTTTTTCGTTATCGGTATGATTCGAGGTTATTTTCAGATGGAGGCTAATTGAAAGTTTCACAAAAATGTCTGAATAATAAACATGAAAAAAAAAAACACACTCCTTCAAGTGTTGTGAAACTTAAGGCCCAGGAACATGAGAGTTTAGCTGTAAATTGTAGCTCATATAAACTCTCCCTGCCCATGATTTTTTCTGCATTGAAAAAGCTAGACTGGTTTTCAAATGATGAAGTTCAAAAGTATACGTGATATTTACGGCATGAAAGATAAAAGGTCATCTCAACTGAAGGGCATCATGCCCCAAATACACAAATTTTGAGCTATAAAAAAAAAGAGGGGGGGGGGGGGGCTGGTGGGAGTTTGCTGTTGGCTTTCTTTATTGCGTGTTCGCGAAGCGATGCGTGTGGAAACTCCGGGTACCGATAACTTTAAATAAACAAAGTCCACCAGATATGTTTTTCTAATTTTTGGTATATGCGAGCATTTACAGCTACGCACAATCTCATTTTCCTTCTGATCGATAAGGAGAATTGCGGCAACGGCTCACCCTGTGATAAGGCATACCCACGCCGCATCTGTGTTCTTCGTGTCCTTCCTTCCCGCACCTTGTCGGAGGACTGTTTCAGCCCCAATCGATATGCCAGCCTCTGTCTAGAACATGTAGGATCCTTCTGTTAGAGAGCCCACAAGTTGGCCAGAAAATGCCTCCTCCTCCGCGTTAGTCGAGAACTGCGTAGCGGTATGCATGAAACACACAAGGCTTGGCTCGCAGAATCTTTGTTCTCAATAAAAGTGCCATCCGAAGACTAATCGACTGGCTCTCATATTCGGCTTTCCTGTTTGCATTTGACGGTGTCAGCGTAAAACAACAAAATTGGGTGAGGAATTCTAGTCCCAAGGACTGAAAGTTTGAACACATTTCATAACATCTGAATGGGCAGCCGTTGAGTGGAAGGTTAGGTTGCTTATCTTTAATTATCGCTTGGGCTCACGCGACTAATATGCTGAAGAGCGCTAAGACAACACAGGTTTAAGAACGTCTGTTGTAAATTCTCGTCCTTTAATGGAGCAATTCAAGACTGGCTTAAGATGACAAACGATATTAACATTAAAATACAATTGGATAATGCTGTAACAACTGTGTCACAAAAACTTTATTATCATACAGTTAGTGTGAGCATGCATCGCTTTTCATTGCATCTTGGAAAGCCTGGGATTTTTTTCAAGATACTGCATATTTGGACGACCACGTTCCATTATTTTGACGTCCGTGACACCGCTTCCTGAAGACGTTAGATATTTTCAAAACGTTTTTCACGTTCCCCGTCCAAATATTTGTTTCTCTTACTTTTGACATTTCAAACTTCGACCCTTGAAGCTTCGGAGTTCCAATCGTAAAGGGATCGAAAGTTGCGGCCAAAACAAATATCTTGCTTGAAGGCGGCGTTGCGGTTCAATACGTATTTTTCAAAAACAAATGTGCAGTCGACTGCAGTTTTTATTACCTTTTAAGTGATGCTAAATGCAAAACCTCTGAATATACATCAGCTATCAGGCCGGACGTAACATTTGCTTCGTTGTGCCCAACATTACAGAACGCGACACCGCTGAATTCATGGTTTATTTCAGGTGTTTTATATGGACAAGGGAGCTGAATGCCGTATCATAAAATTTGCGCTTTATTGGAAAATGTGTGTATCTCGTACAACCGCGCTTTGTGTTTGTCCGTCCGTCGTCTCCGTTTTTTTTTTTTTTTTTTTTTTCCAGAAATGTTTAACATGAACCAGCTCGCCTGTTTACTTACTGTTTCTCCGGAACCCGTGTTCGTTCGCATCGGCCAAGAAGCAACAAAGAGGAAATGTTTGCATTCACAACCTTTTATGTAACATCCCGATCATTTCATTGCCAATCCGCTCGTTATACAGAAACCAAAAATAAAATCTAAACTAAAGAAAGAAACTCACACAACCCAGTTAAAAACAGGGCGGGAGCCAGATGCGATACGAGACGGAAACCCATACGAAGACACGCTCGCAAAATAGAAAGGCGCAAAAGGCGTACCGAATTTCTCAGTGTTACCTAATGTATACGCAACTACATTTGTTACGTGCAGGCAGGACAGATGAATATCCAGCCCGTCTTTGTTGCAGATTCAAAATTTTAAGTGATACGCGTGACGAAATGACGTGCGAGCTCAGAATGTCGCCGTCGGGCGTGTCACGTCCAAAAGAATCAACGGTTGAGCCTGTCTCCAAACAAACATTAAATAATACACTTCAGCTGCTAACCAGGATCGAAACTTCTCAGGCACGGAACACACGACTCCATCAACGCGTCAATACAACACCGACAACACCGTCAACACCGTTAAAAACTAAAACAGAACGAAACCAACGAAAACACACAACGGCTACCACTGCGACGGCTGCATTGACGTGGGACGTCGAAATCATAAAGCCTTAAGTATAGGGCGGTGAAAAAACGTGCAGAGCAATGCACTTCCGGTTTCGTTTTGAGAGAGTCGGCAATCGGAAATTGAATATGGCCCTATGCACTGAGGTGCAGGAGCCACAGGCAAATCAAATGAGCCCACTAATGTCTCAACCGCCAAGCAAAGTTGGTACTCGGGGTTGTGTTTAAAGACATCTGATGTTTTTACCTCGGATTGTTTTCCATGATTATCTATCATTCAGAATTACACAAACAGATATATAAAAGCACT